CCCCAAAACCCCAAAACCCCAAAACCCCAAAACCCCAAAACCCCTCAATTTAAAATAATTATTGAAAATAATTTATTTACAGTAGCAAACCAATGAGCGACCATTTGTAAGTTAACATTTAATTTTAGTAACTTTGAGCAAGACAGCAGTGAGGACATGTTCCCAAAAATAAAAGAAAATGATGAAGTTCCATACTCTCTTGGATTACTAACCAAGGAAATTATAAAAAAATAAAGAAAGCACTGAGAAAGAATTTAGACAAAATGAATCAAATACAAAACAGAAGATGCCAGTAATTGGAAGGGCAAATCATAACTTATCTCCTCAAAGCTCAAATTCTCCAAAGAAATCCTCGTTAAACAACAGGGCTTCCTTAAGTACAAACGCACAATAACTTTTTAGATAGCAGAAGCAATATTATAGAAGAAATATCTTCAAAATACAGTTACTCTGATAACTTTTCCCAAAAAGAGTCACAAACTCCTCAAAGTCAGTGCAAGAAGACCCAATCAAGACAATCCTCCAAACCTGGGTCAAAGCCGTCCCGATATAATAGCACCAATAAGAAAGGTAACATCAAAAATCATTTTAAGTGTCCAAAAATTTATCCCAAGAAACACAAAACTATAACACTAAAACAAAATACTCTAAAAAGGTTGACTCCAAACAGATGAAACAGAGCAGTTCAGTGGTGACTCTTCCGAAGAGGTAAGATTAGAGGTGATGGATGTAGGAAGTTAGAGTGAGCTGATTTTGTTGAAATATAAGGTTCTTGGGCTTAGATCATTGTGCATTACAGCAAAGTACTCAGTTGAGAGAAATACAATCGAAAATAAAGCAATTACGAAGGAAAATAAATGATATCAAAAATACTTTAAAAATCAGTTATGATATTGATCAAGTTGTAGTCTTAGAAAATGAATTAGGTATATTTATCAAAATTTATCCTCTTAGCACAGAAAAACAAGGCAATTTTGTCTCTGACAGACTCCAAAGTTGGCCTAAACGCAGTGAAAAGATCTCAAAAGCAGTTCTACACTGAAGTATATCCATCTCAATATATTTAGATCAACCCGAAAGGCAGAGTTAGCAAATAAGAAAGTGTCTGTTTCCAAACAACTTGAGATCCAAAAGTTCAACTATGCAAAAATGCAGAAAGAAGTCCAAACTATGGAGAAAGATCTAGACGAGGTATTATCATCTTGTTCACCTATTATAGAGACATCTTGAGTTTATAGATAAAGAAACTGAGTGCAGAAGAATGACTAATAAAATCAAAGCTCTTCAAAAATCTAAGAAAACTTCACAACCTCTTCTTCAAATGTCTCAAAGTCAAACTTTTAATTCTGGGCCAAACAGATTCTTAGCTGAAACTTCAAAAGCAGGTGATAAAAATCTTTCTAAATAATACAGACCTTAATGAGCTTTCAACTAAGCTTAATCACCAAAAGAAGGAGCTATCCAAAGCAAAGAACTCTTTTGCTGCTAAAAATGACCGTGTCAAGGCAGAAATTAATAAAATAAAGGAAAATAACTCAAAACAAGACCAACAGATACATTTGACTAATATGAGAATCAAAGAGCTTGAAAGATACATCAAGAATTGATCATCAGCAAGATTCAATGACGCTAAATCAACAACTGAAGTCAGCATAAAAGCTCATAGCACTTGTAAGATAGTCTCTAAATGAATAGGGACGAGCAGCGCAGAGAAAATCAAGAAAGTTAAGAAGAAGATCAACACTAGAAGAGAAATCGAATATGCTCATCTTCCTATCCCGAAGTAAGCTATAACTGTTATCCCTAGAAATACCTTCCTCACTCAGAGGTATGACAGTAATGATAGGTAAGCGAGATTTATATAAGCGAGCATGATAGTGAACCTGAAGAAGGCTAGGTTAATCACTTGTTATAGAAAGCAATCTCCAATATCTACATTCCAAAAATCAATGATCACAAATTCTTCACAAGAAAAGACCAAAGATCAGACATCAGTGTCCTCTACTCCAGCTAAGAGACTTAATAATAGAGCATCAGACCCTATGATTCTTAATACAGTGAAAGAAGAAGGTAATAGCACAGATTTATTCTATTAGATCTTGAAGAAACAGTGAATAACATAAATGAATTTCAGAAAACAGTTAAAAACTTAAAGCTTCCATCAAAACAAACTTCTCAGTCTGAATCTAAGTCCAAAACAGGTCAAGAAAGTAGCTCAAGCTCAGGTTCCAGCAACTCTAGAGACTCTAGTGGCTCCAGCAGCTCTGATAGCTCAAGTAAGCTCTGTTCCCCTAAAAATAGGTATCGAAGATGAATACTCTCAGTCAAATTTCGAAGCTATAGAAGCATAGCTGAGTATAATTCAACCAGAAAGTATAGTTCAGGGGTTTTGGGGTTTTGGGGTTTTGGGGTTTTGGGG